GTGGTATGGACAAGGATGATACTACTCCAGTGGAGGATGCTAATGGACCTGCAACTGCCGATAGCGAGAATGCTGTAATACCCAGCGTTAAAGAGCAGCAACCTATTGAAGGTAGTAACGGCGATCTGGGTTGGCCCATCATGGCATTCAGGAGGACCAGTTGTGGGTGGCGCGGCAGCTACTCTATTGCAACAGGGGAGTAGTAGAAAGGATGCTGATGAGGCGCATGATACTGCAAAAGCTCTTGGCTTGGATCCGAACCTATCTGGTAGTACTGTCTGGGAACTGATATTGTTCGTGTCGTATAATATCGTCTCACTGTATTCAGCTACCTTGTTGCCTGCCTCGGCTCAACCTTTTCTTTCGGACATCCCTGTGGAGAAGCCTAGTGCATCTGAGATTAGACGGAACCTTACTCCTAGAGAGGCACGGCAATTAGCAGAGCTACAATACCATGAGCAGCTACGGGCATATCAGAGATGGGTAGCAGCTGTGGCTGATGCTATGAGGGATAGGGCTACTGCAACTGCAGCAGCAATGGAAGAAGGAGAACATCATGAACAAGGGGTGGATGAAGGGGATAATGGTAGTATAGATGGAAAGGAACATGTAGAGGTAGTATGGTCGTGGTCACGGGTGGGCCTGATGATAATATCAGGCAACTGAAGTGGGTAATAAGAGGAGACCTTCATCACATGGGGTAGCTGGTCATCATGATCATGTATCCTCACCAGTGAGGAAGGTTCCAAAGACTAGTCCAGCGACTAATTCACGGGAGGTGAGAGTAATACTTGTAACGCGGTCAGTTGTAAGGGTGGCATCTTCTTAGGCATTTGATAAGTCAGCAACTGGTACCTCCCTTCCGTCATCGTCAATGCCCAGTTCGTCATCAGCGGCCGACATTACTACAAGCGTATGACTGGTATTGATGATCTCCTAATGAAAGCATTATATTATTCAATAACATATTCCCATCTACCCCAATACTGGGCTACTCTATTATCCCACTACGTTCATGTGGCATCCTGACAATACTCGTAGTAAATCGTCACTAGTTGGAGATGGAATACTCTTGCTTCATCGTCTGCCGTATTGTGTTCACCCTCGGCAATCGTGCGCTACTTCCTATCCGACTAGTTCATTAGTAGTAGAATGAAGAGGGCAGCGGGTTGGGAACCTGGATATCAGGATGCTGTCCAACAACAACAACAACAACATTGGAGGGATAAGATGAGGGTCCACGCAATGTCCCTAGTGGTAGGTTGTCGCTTCAAGTGCATCTCACCATCCTTTCCTGTAGGCTATTCTTATGGGTGATAGTCCTAGTATACCTCCATCGCAGGAGCTTGCAGAAGGTGCGGTATGGTATTGTAGTATATGTGAACTCTACTTGACCAAGCTGACATCGATACATCTACAGAAAAGGAGGATACTTGATCACTTGCTCCAAGATGGACATCACTACTCCATGCTGCAGCATTGGTCATCAGTCTCAGCTTCGGTCCAGCGACCATTCCCGTCGTCGAGCCCACTGCAACAAGACTACCCTCTCATGGCTTCTGGGCCTCATCCTACTAGGAGGCTCAGCTTGCGCTTCAACCATTCCAATGGTGATATTGATATTATCAATCTGATACAGCATAATGAGTCTACCAAATACGGTGGCTTGGTAGGAGGCCCTACTCGCAGGTGGGGTCCACCGGGAGTGCCTTCTGTCCAAGGTCTACGTGTGGAGATACCCCATTGGAATGGATGCCATCCTC